CAACTATCGGATGGGTCTAACGGGCGAAGATTATCGATCTTCTGCCAACCTGGATCATGAAGTTTAAGAGCATCTCTACAACGAAAGGAGTTTGAGAAATGAGGCGTACCTTTATAAGGAGAGCATCTGGGAAAATGATAAATTCTACCCTAGACCAATGTGTAACATAAAGTGTAATAGAACATTAGGGTTTCGTTTGGGGGAACATGCATTGCTACAGAAAATAAGGTGCTAAATTTAGATAGCTGCGATTATTATTTACTTATCAAATTTGTTATACGAGGTGCTTATTAACATTTTCGTGGTTCGCAATTGATAAATTCGCCAAATCAGAGAGTTTGACGAGTTTGACGTGTTTGACGAGTTTGACGAGTCAACGCAGTCAACCTGTGGTCAAAATGACATTCCGATGGTTCAAAGTTGTGTACAGGGTCTATTATGACGTATTGAACGTGTTTTTGTTATAAGGAGAGCATCTGGGAAAATGATAAATTCTACCCTAGACCAATGTGTAACATAAAGTGTAATAAAACATTAGGGTTTCGTTTAGGGGAACATGCATTGCTACAGAAAATAAGGTGCTAAATTTAGATAGCTGCGATTATTATTTACTTATCAAATTTGTTATACGAGGTGCTTATTAACATTTTCGTGGTTCGTCGTATAACAAATTTGATAAGTAAATAATAATCGCAGCTATCTAAATTTAGCACCTTATTTTCTGTAGCAATGCATGTTCCCCTAAACGAAACCCTAATGTTTTATTACACTTTATGTTACACATTGGTCTAGCGTAGAATTTATCATTTTCCCAGATGCTCTCCTTATAACAAAAACACGTTCAATACGTCATAATAGACCCTGTACACAACTTTGAACCATCGGAATGTCATTTTGACCACAGGATGACCGCGTTGACTCGTCAAACACGTCAAACACGTCAAACTCGTCAAACACGTCAAACACGTCAAACTCGTCAAACTCTCTGATTTGGCGAATTTATCAATTGCGAACCACGAAAATGTTAATAAGCACCTC